CTGCAGAACTGAGCGACAGCACCGCGACCTGGCCTACTGTGTGTCACAGCTGCCCCTTACAGAGCGAGGCCTCCGCAAAATGCTTGACAGTTTTGACTGCTTTGGAGATAAACTGTCAGATGAATCCATCTTCAGTGCCTTTTTGTCAGTTGCCAGCAAGCTGCGGCGTGGGGCTAAGCCTGAGGGCAAGGTGAGCAGCCTAGGGACACTTGGGCACCTGCTGGGTTCCAGGCCAGGCTGCTACATCTCTCTCTAAGCACTGCTCTAGGGCTCTTGTAGTCATATTACTGTCTTACTTTATCCCCAACTTGACTGCAATCAAGTTATTAGAGTGACCCTAAACCAGATTTTCTATCTTTAATTCTTGTTTTTTTAATAGATTTCCATCTCCAATTTTTTTTTTTTTGGATACAGAGTCCCATGCGGTTGCCTTGGGTAGAGTGTCATGGCATCACTGCTCACAGTAAGCTCAAACTCTTGGGCTTAAACGATCCTCTTGCCTCAGCCTCCCAAGTAGCTGGGACTATAGGCACCCGCCACAACGCCCAGCTATTTTTTGGTTATGCTTGTCATTGTTGTTTGGTGGACCCAGGCTGGATTCAAACCCACCAGCTCAAGTGTATGTGGCTGGCCCCTTAGCCACTTGAGCTACAGGCCCGAGCCTTTGTTGTTGTTTTTTTTTTAATAGACTTTCTCTTTTAGGAGTTTTAGGTTAAAAGCAAAATTGAGTGGAAAATACAAAAACTTCCCACATACCATGTCCCCACACATGCAGCCTTCCCCACCATCAGCATCCTGCACCAGACCAATACATTTGTTACAGTCGATGAACCTACGTTTCCCTAAGAACCTACATTCCCCTAAGTTCAAAGTTTCCATTACAGCCTTCTACATGATGACATGTACCCACTATGGCAGTATCGCACAGAATAGTTTGATTGCCCTAAAAATCCCTGTGCTCCACCTATTTATTCTTCTCTCCCCACAATCTCTGGTGACCACTAACCTTTTTACTGTGTCCACAGCTTTGCCTTTCCGAGATTGGCATATAGATAGAATCATACCATATGTAGGCTTTTCAGATTGGCTTCTGTCACTTAATATTAAGCATTTAAAGTACCTCTGTGTATTTCATGGCCCTTTTTCTCTTTAATCACATAAGTACTATGTTCCAAACCTGTTCTTTTTTCTTTATCTTTTTTTTTTTTGAGACAGAATCTGTCACCCTTGGTAGAGTGCCATGGCATCCCAGCTCACAGCAACCTCAAACTCTTAGGTTTAAGTGATTCTTTTGCTTCAGCCTCCCAAGTGGCTGGGACTACAGGCACCTGCCAAAACACCTGACTATTTTTTGTTGCAGTTGTCATCATTGTTGCTTAACTAGCCCAGACTGGGTTTGAACCCAGCACCCTCAGAGTATGTGGCTGGCACTATAATCACTGTGCTACGGGCGCAGAGCCTCCAAACCTGTTCTTAATCTTTGTTTGATCCAGGCTATAATAGATGAGTTTGAGCAGAAGCTTCGGGCTTGTCACACCAGAGGGTTGGATGGAATAGAGGAGCTTGAGAATGGCCAAGGACTTAGCCAGAGAGCCCCATCAGCCAGGAAACAACCCACTGGTATGTGAGGCTACCTTGCTCCTTCCCCTCAAGCTATGGTTACTTCTTTTTTAAAGCATCTCTCCCTGCTTCTTCTAGTCTCTAGGCACCAGCCTCTTGCTTCTGCAGCTTCAGACAGTGACTTTGTCACACCTGAGCCCCGCCGTACTACCCGTCGGCATCCAAACACCCAGCAACGAGTTGCCAAAAAGAAATGCAAAGTTGTCTTCTCAAGTGATGAGTCCAGTGAGGAAGGTATGATGCTCCTTCCTAGCACTGACCCAGAAGGAACATGGTTGGGGTGTCGAGTCCTGGTTTCCATAGGGTTCTGCTGTAGGCCCTCTACTGCTCCGTGGTGTCTTCCTATGCAGTTGGGGTCAGGGTTGTTCCATTTGTTCTCTTACATCTATTTTTTACCATCTTCATGACTCAGCTTTTTTTACCTCCAATTCTTTGAATAGAGCTCTCAGCAGAGATGACTGAAGATGAGACACCGAAGAAAATGACCCCCATTCGCAGAGCATCCACTCGAAGGCACAAATCCTAGCAAGTCTTCTTGCCACTTCCCATCTCTCCTGTGCAGGGTATCATGTGGGATGACCTTAAATTCCAATTCCAGTCCCCTTGTAATATACTTGTTTACCTGTCTCCTATGTATTTTTTTAAAACACACAAATGATCTTTAAAATGCAAGGCATTTCTCTTAAACTAGCCTAACTGAACTTCACTACCTGCTTTCACTTTGGAATGTTTGTCAGTCTCCATGTTTTCTAATAATAAATGTTTTTATAGATTTTTGGACATTTTTCCTAAGTTTGTCTTTATTTCACCTTTCATGAGCCCAGACTCGTGCAGCAGAGGGTTATCAATCCAGAGGGTGAGCCCAGGAGTGCAGATGAACCCCCTGCTTCTGTCCCACTGTCCCATTTCTCCTGCCTACACAGGTAACAAGATGCTTGGCTGGAGAGTTGTACAATGTCCAGGCTCTACTTCATTGCTCCTCAACCTCAGGCAGTTTTGCTGCCAGAGGACATGTGACAATGCCCAGAGACTGTGTTGCTGTCATAGCCTGTGGGGGAGGGCTGCTACCAGTATCTGGTGGGCAAAGGCCAGGGATATTGCTAAACATCCTACAGTGCACAGGACAGCACCCCCCCCCCAAACAAAGAGTTATTCAGTCCAAAATGTAAACAGAGGCAAAGTTGAGAAAGCTTCCCCCCAGACCAAGAGCTGCTTTCCTCTGTGTTCCCTGCCCTCCCCACAGGCCCCCATGGGTGTTCCCTAGTTCATCTCTAAACATTGGCAACTGCTCTGGCCAGGTGAGGGGTCAGATCATGCACACCCTCTGGTTTTAGGAGACAAGGTCTGTCTGCTAGGCAGTCCTCACTATGTTATAGGTCTGCAAGAGATGAGAGGGTGCAGGTCATGTGGCTGGTGAGCTGTCCCCTAAAGCCTATGTACCCCTCTTCAGCTCCACAAGTCCTCTCTGCTGAGTCACAGGGAGGAGGCAGTGAGCCTGCCATCATGACCACACTGGTGTCTCTGCTGTCATGACAACAGCATAATGAGTCGGTATTGCTCTCTGGGCACTGAGCTCCCTATTTTGGGGGGGAGGGAAGAGAAGAGGACACTAATGAAAAATGACAAGCATGAGGCAAAGGGGAAGATGGTACCTCAGAATCATGCTTTGGGTAGTGCTAGAGCATACAGAGGCTCTTAGAGTCCTCTGCAAGGAAGGGGTTAATGGTCATTTTGATTTAGCTGAGCCTTTTCAGGAGTAGACAAGGGGCCTCAAAGGTGGGGGCCTCCAATCCCCCAGGCTCCACTGCAGTGCCTCTCCACCCTACCTCATCCTGTCCTGTCTCATCATCCGAGGCCCTCTCTTTGTGATCCTGAAATGCCTGAGCACCAGCCATGCCAATGGCTGCCAGATATGGACACGGCCTTGGTTCTGGGGCCCCAAAGAGGGAGGTCAGCCCCAGAAAGACTGGATGGGACTGGGACAGTGAACTCCCTACCTTTTAAGCAAAGATTATCACCCCAGGCTGGCTAAACTTAGCCCCAGGCTTTTAGCTAGAAGGGCAGGGGGCTGGTGTCAGATTACGCTGGGCTAGCAACAGGGCCCCAGGACCCCCCTCCCCTGCACCTGCTGATGGGCAAAGGCCACCTCACTCCCCACCCCCCTTCAAAAGCCCTCATTCCTTTCAAGTGCTGGGCACCCAGCCCTTCTTCTATCCTCAGCTCATAACCAAACCTGGACTTGTGCAGGATGACAGATCCTTTCCTTTACCTCCCGAGAGTGTGGGAAGGGGAGGGGAGCCTGTTCCTACCCTGTGCCCAAGACTTTTTTTTCCCCCTTTCTGGATTCACTCTGCCCTCAACATCCCATGGGTGTAGCAGTAAAGGGGAGTCCCTGGCTCCTGGACTTGCCTGCACGTCTCAGGATGGGGAGGGACTTCCGCCCTGGGCTGGAGGTGATCAAAGAGACACTGTCTCCTTCCTCAGGTTCCCAGGAGCGACTTTGTGGGAGGCCTCTGGGCCACCACCATCCCGGCTCCACCCGTGACCCCATCCTCTCCCTAGGGCCTCAGTCCGCGGGGGAGCAGCTGGTGTGCACAGGGCCTGGCTTGTCTGCTCTAATTATCAGGTCCAGGCTGCATGGGCTACAGGACATCGTGACCTTCTGTGCAGAAACCTCCCCCTCAAGCCTCCTCCCAACCCTCCTTCCTCTCCAGGCCCCCACCGCCCAAAGCCCAGCCCAGGCAGGCCCTGGTCCCAGAGAGGCTAGGAGCCAGGAGTTGGGGAGGGGGAAGGGGGACTGGGAAGGGCCCTTCCTGGATCTTTGCTTGAGCTGTTTCTCTGTCACTACCGAAGAGCCTAGAGGAGAAGTTCCTCAACTTTCCCGCCGCTTAGCCTTTGAAAGAAAGGGGAGGAGGATGGCCGCGTGCAGCCGCAAGCAGTCTTGGGCTCTGGCTCCAACTTCCCATCCCACCAGCTCCCCAAGTCCTCCTGCTTAGCAAATTTAACGTCCCTGGCTCCGGATGTCCTAAATTCTCACCAGGGCCCCAGTCCTGGAGTCCCTAGTCTGCGTTCCCACAGCCCAGTCCTGGAAACTATTGCCGATCACCTCCTCCTCAGGCCAATCTCTGCCCCATCCCACCCCCACTCCTGCTCTACATCCGGAGCCCACACGTTCGGTGCGTGCACAGTCGAACTGCGCCAAAAAAACTAAAAAGAAGTTGCCAGGCTACTCCCGGGTTTACGGGCGCACGTAGCTCAGGCCTCGAGCTCTTGGGCTGGGACTGGGTAAGCCACCCGGGAGGCGGGGCCCACGTGTCCCGCCCCAGCCCCCCCCCCCATCTTTTGTATAAAGGGAGCCTGCCTCTTTCCCCTGCGCTCTCTGGTCTTCCCGTTCGTCAGATAGCCGCTTCTTCTAGTGCAGCGCCAGGTGCAAACAGGCAAAGAGGAACAGTGGGAGACTGGGGGCTAGCCTGAGGGGCGAGGGGGTGTGCGCAGGCGGAGTGTGGTTGTGCTGCTGCAGGTCCGGCACAGGCCGGGGGGGCAGCGTATAACAGGGGCGAGTGGAGGACGTGATGCGGCCTGGTGTGGGAATGGAGGCCTGGGGGAGGGGAGGAGTGGGCGTGTGCACTGGCTGGGGTCCCATGGCTCAGTCCCGGGGTGTCGGGTAGCCAGCTTAGATGCTTACTGTTCTCTTCCCCGCAGCCGCATCCCCGAGGCACCATGGTGAAACCGAAGGTCGGAATAAACGGGTGAGTTAAAGGGCGGCTATAGGGTGAGGTCCTGAGCTGCATTGCGTCTGCAGGTCTTGCTGGATTCGAGTCTTTGCAGCTGGGTGGAGTGAGTAGGGGGGCTGTATCCTCCCAAGGAGAACTGAAGGTCAGCGCCCGGACCTGACAGAGGCTCCTGCCTCTAAGGACCTCGTGTCCCCTTTCCCCCGGCTGTTGCACCTTAGCTAACTCCGCTCCTTCGGGCACAGGCTACCAAAAACCTTCCATTTACCGCAGAAAAATGGGACAGACCCCATTCTCGCTTGGGATCCATCCCCATCCTCCAACTGAGGCTCCTTTCTTCTCTTTGGCGCTCTGCGGGGTCACGTGCCCGGAGAGGCGCCCCTCCCCCTCCCCGGCCTGCGGGGGTGCCTTGGGGGGTGCAGTGCGCAGCCTGCTGCACTGGCTGAGGCGCACTGCGGTGGCGCGGCCGCCATGTTGCAACCCGGAGGGAAATGAATGAAGCCCGTTAGGAAACCCTCCTGATTTCTGCAGTCTTCCTCTTGGCTTGCTGGTGACTAATCCTCCGGCTGCTGCCTCAGTAGGGCGGAGTCTCCTTTATCCGGTAAACCTGGTGAAGCAAGGCTTCTCGGGTTCTTGCTCAAAGAGGGTCTTTCCCTCAAAATCCAGCTGCTGACCGCACTGGCCGTAGACTAGCCCTAGAGCCACAAGCCTTTTTTCCCTTCATCTAGGGACGATGAATCCTAGATAATTCTCTGACGAATCAAACAAGTAGGCCTATGGTTCTCTTATGGCCCCCCTCCCAAAGGTGTGGTAGCTGTGGCTTCAGGCCAAGCTAGGGGAGCTGAGTCATGGGTAGTTAGAAAATTTCCACCACGAAATGGCCTCTGTGGCAGCAGCCCCTCCTGCACCGCCTCACCTGGAGGCTTCTTCCCGTGGGCATCTAGAGCTAACCCGACCCTCAAAGCCAGGCTGTAAAGGTCAATGAGAGGATTGGGTGTCTGTGAACCTTGGAAAACTAGTTCCATCTTTCAGAAACCAGATCTCTGCTCATCCTGCTCCCAAGTTAAATATAGCTGCTGACCTTTCTGTGGTGGGGCCCCTGCTGCAGGTCTCCCCCCACTCCCACTTATACCCTGTTACACCACTCCTGGTTTCTTGAAAAGAAAGAGCTGTGAAGGAAGGAGGCTTAGCAAATCAGATCCCTGGGACTAGGAAGTTGAAAAATAGATTGCTACCTCTGTGTCTGTGCCTTTTGTAGAAGGGAGTTATAGAAGGTGGGCTCACCCTGCTGGTTAATTTCTGACCTTTACTACTGCCCTTTGAGCTTGGAGATGCTGAGTGTACAAGTCTCTTCCCCGGAGGGTGTAGCTTGAAGCTTGGCCAGGCAGCAGCAAGCATTTCCAGGGCATGGATAGTGGGGTGATAAATGCCATGTGCCAAGCTTGTGCCCAGCCTGTGGGTGGCAGTGTTCCACACAGCCCCTTCTCCTTGAAGGACTTCACATGACTGGGTGTTGGTTAGGACAGGAGCCTTAACCTACTACCATGTTGTGGGGCCAGGCCAGCCTGGTAGGGTTGAACTACAGACCTCTTAGGACTTCTGGAGGTGAGGAGAGGTGGAGAGGTGCTGTATTTGCTTACTTAAAAGTGAGCCTGGGGCTGCTCACCCAGCAGCAAGAATTCTCTATTTCCCTCATTCCTTATTCCCTCTTGTCCTAGCTTTGGTCGAATTGGGCGCCTGGTCTGCAGAGCTGCTTTTAACTCTGGCAAGGTGGATATTGTCGCCATCAATGACCCCTTCATTGACCTCAACTACATGGT